TATAAGAATAGAATTTTAAATGATACTGAATAAAATATTTGTGGACCTTGTAACCATATTAGTGGATCCAGTAGTATAACTCCCAAATCTGATTCTAGGCTAATTTTGACTTCATGCTTTATTTGAAAAGAATTACTAACTATCCTTGAGAAAGTCTTTATAGAACAAAATAAGAGGAGGAATAGATTTTTAAAAAACAAACCCAGGGCCAGGGATGGTGGATGGGGGAGCATCCTAGCACTGGAGACGCTGAGGCAAGAGGCTTGCCATGGTTCGAGGCCAGCCTGAGCTAAACCAAAAAACAAACTAAGACTGAACACCCACCCAAAATTGAGGACAGTAAGTATACATATTGGAAATAACATGATTTGTATCTAGTAGTTTAATAGGCCCTCTGCCTATTATAAACCTTGTAGTATTTGTATTTAATGATTTTTTAAAAACATTATATTCAGACATTTATTAATTTTTACTTCTTTCATAATATTGTCAGATTGCCCTGGGGACTCTGACTTAACATGTTTTATATGGGCATGAAGCTTTTTAGTAATTCATGATCATATTACCAGAGAAACCAAATTGGATTATTACTGTAGGCTCTGTCTCTTTATTCTCATGTGCCCTTCAGTTACGTGGTGGTTCCAGTTTTACAAACACTGTATAAGCAGCACTCCCCAGCCACTTCTTGGGTTTTAGTCTAAGAGGGCTCCTCCTATTTACTGTGCTGTACCACAGGCCTTGTTAAATACTTGCTTTCATGTTCCTGCAGTAAAATTTTTTTATTGGACTTCATTGTCTGTATGTTCTTATAGTTTGTTTGGATACATGGTTTGGCTTTGTAATTCAGGTTGGCCTTGAACTCACTATGTAGCCCAGGCTGGCATCGAACTCAGAGCATCTTCTTGCCTCAACTTCCCAAGTACTGGGATTACATGTGTGCACCACCATGCCCAGCCTTAGTGTTTATTTTTTAAAATCATCATCTCCTAAAAAGCTTACATTGTCTCTTTAAGGTCTTCTACAATATCATAAGTTATTTGAAAAGTTACTTTCTGTGTAGTTTCTATATCTCATACCATTCTACATGATCTCAACTGTTTTTTTTGGTCCATAATGTTGATATATTACAGTGGACTCTTTTTTGTGTGTGTCTTTTTGAGACTGGGTCTTGCTATGCAGTTCAGGCTGGCCTTGAGCTCACTTTGTAGCCTAGGCTGGTCTCAAACTCATAATGATGCTCCTGCCTCAGCCTCCCAAGTACTGGTATTACAGGTTTGCACCACCATGCCTGGCTTTACATTAGACTCTTGATTTACAAACTCAATTTGTTCCCAAGGGCTGGCTGGTTGTAACTCAAGTTGGTTGTATGTCAAGGCTGTTTTTCCCATAAGAAATAAACACCCATAATATGTTCCAAACCTTCCAAAGCACCCCTTAACTAACCTTTTTGTAATAAAAAAGGTTGTATAATGTGCATAATTTATCAGAAACACCAATAATTTCTCATTGTGTTCACCAAAAAGTTATAAACAGTTTCTTTTAATTTTATGTTTTGGTTTTTTTCCGGTACCGAGAATCGAACTCACTACTTTATGCTTGCCAGGCAGGTGCTGTGCCGCTGAGCTAAATCCCCAGCTCCTGTAAACAGTTTCATACTGTACTCACCATTCAAGTTGACATCCTTGGCTTGCAGGAAATAGGATGAGATGGCAGGTGGTCATTATTTGGAATGAGAGTCCTCTTCCATAAGAACATCAGAAGTCTAGCTCTCTAGTATGCTTTCTCCTTGGGATAATCTGTAGTCCACTAGGACCTGCTTCTCTGCCTCACTAGATTTCAACCTTTTCTGAACTAAAAACTGGTCTAAGGTTGTTTCTGTCTTTTAACACTGATCTTTTCAATTGTAATTGCTTTCTTTACCTTCCCTTTCTTCCTTAGCTTCTTTTCTAGCTTTTTTAGTGCCATTTTGATAGTAATTGTAATGATTATATAAAGCACTGACCAAAATCATGTGTATAAACATGGGCCTCTGGGCTCAGACAGATGCTTACATACCCTTTTCTGGCCTTGTAAGTCTGTGTTTACAACCACACAAGCAGCTGGCATTTGGATTTTAACTCAAAACTTGGTTGTAAGTTAAACCTGAAATTCTGGTTGTAACCCAAGTTGTTCATATTTGCCACTATATTTGCCTGGTTCATATGTCTTTTATTTCTCAGCGCATGGAAGAGTGCTTTGTGTGTATGCTTAATTAGTACCATTTGGTGATCATGTTATATCTTAGTTACTCTAAAGCCTACACTCAGACTTAAGTTTCTTCTTTGATATAAATAGTCCACAACACCTCTGTTGGATTCATTTTACAACTTTTCATCACTAAGCATTTCTTTTTTTTCTTTTTTTTCCTCTGGTACCGGGAACCGAACTCATGACCTTGTGCTTGCCAGGCAGGCGCTTTTGCCGCTGAGCTAAATCCCCAGCCCCTCACTAAGCATTTCTTGACTGCTTTATACAGAGTGGGAATGCAGTAATTTTATTATCCTCACTACCTAGTGATTGGCATGCCTCGTCTTCATTTATTCCCTGCTTTACAGGTCAGAAAGAGAGACAGACAGAAATGGCAGCTGTGTATGTGGCCAAACATTTTGGTCAAGCTCACTGGCAAAGTAGCCAGCAGACACATTTGGGGGAATGCGTGGAGGTGTGCTGCTTGTGCTGCTTGGCTCTCTGGAGCGAGACTAGCAGGGAAAGGCAAGGCAGACAGGAAGTCTCTTCCCCTACAATATGCAGGGATATGTGGCCATATTTTCTCTTCATCATATTTATAACTTCGGGATTTTTGGCAATGAAAATGCCCTTATGGTGGTTGGTCACTGTCATCTTCGCTTTTTTTTTCATCTGGATCAAATATGTTTTGTATAGCTAAAATTGTTACCAAAATTTTAAAATTAGAGCCTCAAATTTGTAATTTAGAATCAGACAGCCATGTGCCAATTGTAGATCAGCTGTGAGAGATTGTGTGTAATGGCTACAGTCATACAAAGAACATAAGTCTTGTAACTAGTTTTCTTTTGCTCTTAATTGGAAAATATTCTCACCATCAAGGGTTTTTGTAACAAATAGTGACACAACTGTACAGGAATTTAGCAAAGAACCTGGTGTTTATTAAATAGTAGCTGTTATATAATACATAGTCTAAGGTAAATATTCTTAATATTCACATAGGAAAAATGTAATTGGATCCATGTGATAGTCTTTGAAAAGTATTCTAATTTATTTTTGCGTGTTAATACAGATAGTTTACTAATGACATTTATGTCCTTGAAACAGAACTGCTTCGAAATGAGCATTTCCATACTCACACTTTGAATAAATAAAAGATCTACATGTATAATTATAATAATTGTGCAAGTTTCCTGGGGGGTTGGGAGCGGGACTTGACCAAGGCTTGAAGGTTATTAAATAAAGAAGTCATGTTCTGGAGAGGAAGCCAGCCTAAACAAATGTGTAGAGCATGCCAAGGAACCAGTCAGTACGTGGACCAAGTTAGTCCTCCCCAGTGAACAGTATACAGGGGAGGAGCAAGGTCTTCCAGTGTTATCACTCTGAGACAAGGCAGATCTTCAAAAACGGTGCATCACTAAGTACTATTGAGAGCTGAAGGCATTTGAGTGAAGTGCTGGCTGATAACGGCTGCACTCAGGAGAGGTAAGATGTGAGACTCAGGAAAATACAGAACAGCCTGCCAAGTGGTTCACATACTGTAATCAGGTTAAATGTCTACTCTGTCCGTACTCTATTTTTCAAGAAGAATATAATTTTTGCCCCCAACTTGATTGTGGAAGCTCCGTTCAGTGTTTTCCTTTTCCTTGTCCACATCTCTGTCTTCTTCATCCCTGCAAAGCAAATGAACCATCAGTAGGAGAAAACTAAATAAAATTAGCATCCATCCCCAGAAGGGCCTGTATGCACCAGAGCTAATCTTGTAAGGTTTTGAGTGGATTTAATATGATTGATGCAGTTATAATCTTTAGGTCTTGAGATGCCAGTTACACTGAGTCCTTGAGAAGTGTCTCGGCACTAGGAGAGGAGGGTAGCTGTCTTAGCGCATCTGTAGCAGCATTGGATGTCACTGTGCAGAGACTGGGCTTGGGTGGAGTAGCTTAACCATTATCTTCAGGTGGCAGTCACCACGTTATACATACTATAATCAGGTTAAACGTCTACTCTAGACACCATGTGGAAAATGGTTTATGCCCACACTGACAGTTACTGGAAAATTACAGTGCTTGGCCTTTCTTTTGGCCAAGGAAACTGGGAAATGGAAACATTCCCTTAAGCTTCTATCATTTAAGTCTTCTGCAGTAGAACTTCTTGCTCCTTAGAATATCTTTGCCTGTCTATGCTTTAGAGACTGCAGTAAGTATAAAGAGGTGAGCCCAAGACGCACGGTACAGTATTTGGCCTTGTTTCTTAGATGTTAAGGAAATACCCAAAGGGAACTCCAGAACCAGAGGGGAGCTACCCTGGCATGAGGAGCCCCAGGCCCTTAGTTCAGTTTATTAAACCTTCAGGAAGTACAATAACCCCTAAACTTTGCTCTTGGTTTTGGTGCATCAGGTCACTAGACTACGTATCCAGGATCTGCGGGAACTTTAAAATGTGGGTTTAAAGAATAAGGAAGAAACACTGATAGTAAAACTTGGCTGTTACGAGAGACTGGAAATGAGGTTTTGTGCCTGAAGTTTAGAATTGACACTAGACGGCAATGGTATCATTTCATGGAAGAGTAAAGAACTGTTAGAGGTGAATTGTCATGGTAGTCGTGACCTGAACACTGATTAAACATATGAAGTAGCACAGTTTCTCTTAGAATGTTTGACAAATGAGTTTATCTGTATTTATAATAAATGATCTCCTCTGGCGCATAGCAAATGCTACTAAATGACCGAGGCATTTTTTTCCCCACCAAGCTCGGATGATAATCTTATTTAGCAGCATTAGACACTTACTGTCAGTCTAATAGAATTATGAAAGCAGGTAAAACTGATTTGTCATCCTGTGTGGGTATAAATAGGTACCCAGAAATTAACCCGGAATTCATTATTGATTGAAAATTATTGCCCTCTTAGGCTGTTTTTCTATGTTTATGGTGCTTGCTTTTCTGTATTCCTTTTAAGAGTTTGTTACTTGCCCAGTGAAGGGCTTCTGGGGATCTGAAGAAGGCCTTTTCTTGTATCACACCTGTGCAGTTAACTCTTAGGGTGCTGACATATAATTTGTCAGTTCTTCCCGTATGCAAATGATAAATGTCCAGGTTCTTTTTTTGCCTGTTTAAGTCTGCCTTAAAAACAAGTTCTTAATTTCTTTTTCCCCCAGTCCTGGGGATTGAACCCAGACAGTGCTGAGATATGTCTAAGCTTTTTTAGAAATTTTGACACAGCATCTCACTAAATTGCCAAGGCTGATCTAGAACTTGAAATTCTGACTCAGCCTTCCAGATAGCTGGGATTTTAAGTGTGTGCTCAGTTAAGTTTTTTTTTAGTATCTTTAAAATAGTTATTGACTGTCTTGATTTTTGACCACACAATAAGAAATATTTGGATCCCGTCACATGTATGTATACATATGAGTGTATGTAACAGCATATTCCGGTATTTATAACCATCACATATTTTGAACACAATTGGATATAGTGAAAACTTAGAAAATATTTGTGCTGTAGTTTATTTTTAGTTGATGCCTGAGTACTTAGGTTTTACACAAATAACATTTCTATTAATTTATAACATAGAAATTGCTATTTATTCTAAGGGCACAATTAGAGAATGAAAAGAAGAAAAGAGAAATAGCAGAAAAGGAAAAGGAAAGAATAGAACGTGAAAAGGAAGAGCTGATGGAACGTCTAAGGCAAATTGAAGAACAGACAATGAAAGCCCAAAAAGGTAGGAGGATTTTTTTTTGATAACGCAAAATTATTGCTGTGTTGTCAGACGATATTTACGTGCTATCATTGTTGCTGTGTTAAGTGGGACAGCTTCATTTACCTGCTAAGTTACTGGTTAGAGTCACATCATAAACATGTTTGACTAAGGCATATTCAGTTCTACAGAGCTTGGTATTTCCTTTTATCACACAAATATTTTTTCATGTGTACTCACTATATATAGTAAATGACTGTCTAATTTAGACCTATTCATATTCAGAGTTCTGTAAATAAAACCACATGTTCAGTACTTTATGTCTTTTTAAACAAAAGCGTTTATCAAGTATCATTGAAGCATTTTCAGCTGTTCTAATCCTAAAAAAGACATTTTAGTGCATTAGAAAGCACACCATAGGTTCGGGGATACCTCAGTGGTAGAGGACTTGCTTAGCATGTAAGAGGCCTTTGCTTTGATCCTGAGCATTCCAAAAAAAAAAAAAAAAAAAACCCACACAGACAAGCATGTAATTCTTCTTGATTGGTTTTGGTGATATGTTTGGAAGACCTTACTTCCTAGGCAGCATTTAACCAAAGTGCTTCAGTGTATGGAAAAGACACAAAGGGTTTTTGATGTGTGGCCTACGCTGAGTAACTATAGGAGATACTACTTTCACACACAGTGCTGAAGAGAACAGAAGAGAAAATATATTGAACAAAATAAAATGTTTTGTTTCCTTTTAAGCAGTAGGAGGCTGGGTGTGGTGGCGCATGCCTGTAATCCCAGCACTCGGGAGGCTGAAGCAGGAGGATCGTTGTGAGTTCAAGACCAGCCTGGGCTACAAAGTGAGCTTACGGCCAGCCTGAACTGCATAGTGAGACCCTGTCTCAAAAAACAAAAAAAAAGCAGTAGGATGTCTTAGGGGTGACATGAAATCTGTACTGTTTGTAAACACTTGCTTTTCTAATAACTAGTATAACTAGCTGTTCTCTTCTATTGAAATAGCCATTTTTAAAATTTTTTTTGTTTTGTTTTTTTGTTTTTCTGGTACCGGGAATCGAACTCATGACCTCGCGCTTGCAAGGCAGGTGCTGTGCCACTGAGCTACATCCCCAGCCCCCATTTTTTAAATTTTAAATTACTTGAACTAGCCTCCTGTAGTGAGGAGATGCTCTTCAGCAGTAGGTAGAATAATTTGCAAGTGTATATACTGAGAGGGGGAAAAATTGGGTTTTATTTTGATTTAGTAGAAGCCTCACTTCTCAAGGCCATTAAGACCTAGAGGCTAAAGTAGTTCAAGGCCTAAGGGTTGTAAAGCATTTGTTTGCAGACCAGAACTCAGGGCCAGAACTTGTTTCTTAAATTCCAGTTTGGTGGTCTTTCTACCTACCACTCCAGGTGCCTTTTTGGTCAGACATTTATAACATAACTACTTTGTGCTATATTCTAGGACTGCAAACATAACATACAAGAGTGTGAAACCTTTAATGCTGGAAAAAACTAGATTGAGGGGGTATGGGAGGGTTGTATGTATCTCAGTGGTAAGAGCTACCTACCTACCACATACCTGCCTAGCATGTGTCGTGCTTTGAGTTCCATTACCAGCAGCGTACACATATAGTCTGCATTGTACTAAAAGAATGTTGAGAAAGGAATGTTTATGCATTAGTAGAGTTTAAAAAAAAACAAAGATTGAATCACAGCATTTTTTCATTTACGTAAAGCCTTTTCTAAGAGAAAGTTACTTAATAAAGTTTTTAATCTTATTTAGGAGATAAAATAAAAATACTAATGATTTACATATTAAAAAACAACTCAAAGAAGCTCTGAAGAATGTAAGGGAGACAGCATAAGAAAGAATATAAAGCATCTCTATCAAGACAATTTCAGAGCAATCGTCTTTAAGGCAAAGGACATCCATTTTGTTTGTTTTCCAATAAAGTTTTTCCAGGCTGTTCTAAAATCTGAATGTTTGTCTTGTAATTTATGCTAAGTTTTCATTCAAATACCATAGCTTTGGCCATATTTAAATCATAGTATTTAATAGATTAACGTATAATTTTTTGAGAAGCTTTATTTCATTATTTTACTTTTCCTAATTTTTTAATGAAGTTTTTTTCCGAGTGAATCATTAAATGTTCCATAATGTATCATAAGTTATCTTCATTTATCCTTTTTAACTATCTTGAAGATATATTGGTGATGATTTAGCCAGACTTGCATTGTTATTGTTTTAACAAATTCCGAAGTCCATTTCCATCTTCAGTAAGACAAACTAGAGAAAGTGAGTGAGGCCCAATTTCATTCATTTATTCTGGATCCTTCCTAAGAATGCTGTGGGGTGCTAAGCACTGTATTAGTTATTGGGGATATAGCACTGGACATAGACGGTCCCTGTTCTCATGGAACTTAACATTTTATTGAGGGAAGACAGTAATAAATTTAATAAAATTTTAGGTAATTTTAACTGCTATGAGGGAAGTAAGCGTGATGTGATAAAAAGCAGCACTTGGGGCTGGGGATTTAGCTCAGCAGCACAGCGCCTGCCTGGCAAGTGTAAGGTCATGAGTTTGATTCCTGGTCCCAGAAAAAAACCAAAAAAGAAAAGTACTTGTAGGGGCTGGGGATTTAGCTCAGCGGCAAAAGCGCCTGCCTGGCAAGCGCAAGGTCGTGAGTTCGGTTCCCGGTACCGGAGAAAAAC